CCTTGCTTCACGTGCAATATTTCCATTTTTTTTAGTTAGATGTTCATATATGTAAACATTTGTTCCCTTCAGTTTTTTTGCTTGTATTATTACATTGTTTCTTGATTTCCTGCTAATGAACTTGATGACTATGGATGGTTTGGCTTTATCTGATTTGTTGGGCAGGGTGTGACAGATTGAAATGTCCTCATGTTTGATGTCATTGTCTTTGTTTTGTAAAAAATTCACTACTTGCTCCTCCAGAGTCTGTAGTTCTTCCTGTGGTGCGTCTTCTGTAATGTTAGTACCAGCAACAACTCTTGCATATGTCCGGTTCCTAACTTCCAGTCCCGTGATCACCAAGTTGTCTAGTCTTGTGTATTGTTCCATGTTGTCTACTTTCTGTTCCAGTTCAGCTATTTTTCTGTCTTTATTAGTCATCAGTTCTTTCAATTGTCTCACTTCTTCAAAACAGTCCTGTCAGTAATTCACATTTAGCTGATAATTTCGTCAGTTCAGCACTCAAAAAGTTCAAAGATTTTTTAACTTCCTCCATATCTTCTGAAATATTTTCCGACACTTGTCTCTTATCTCTGTGTTTGCTCGGCATTACTCACGATACTTCTGGAGTATTGGTCTCAACTTTCAGAAGCACAGGATCCAGCCACGGGGTTCACAGGCTTATGTTGTTAGCCGAGGCCTAGCCAGGTCTAGCCGAGGACTAGCGGCAACAACCTCCAGGTCCCACGAGGTCCCACGATTCACTCGGTCCAGCAGTTCGCAGCCCCAATGGTGACAGACTAGGTCCCGGTTGCAAAAGCTCCCAAATCCCACAGCTGTAGTTTAGCTTCCTCGGTTCAGCGGCTCGCAGGTCCAACAGCGGCGGACTGGGTCTCCGGGGTTAGGGAGACTGTCAAGCAGAAGAAGGAGTCCTATCGGTCCTTGTTGGTCGGTGGGACTCTGAAGGCAGCTGAGGAGTATCAGAGGTCCAAGAGGTCCACAGCCTTGACTGTTGTTGAGGCAAAAGCTCTGAAGTAATATCCTGATGCTGCTCAATAATCCAGGTAGAAAAATCTAAAAAGTTAAGTCTGGTCCTCTGGACATTCACAAAACAAACAATACAGTTTATAATAAAAAAACAATACATGTTTTTTGTTTGTTTGTTTTTGAATGTCCAGAGGACCAGACTTAACTTTTTAGATTAATAAGTAATA